AGCAGCAGCAGCAGCAGGAGCAGCAGAAGCAGTGATAGTTTTGGTCTGTAGTACTACTGCTAAGGCAACAGCAGTAGCCGTCCTCACCCTCATCATCAGCAGCAACAGCAGCAGCAGCAGCAGCAGCAGAAGCAGCAGCAGCATCATCATCATCCGCAGCAGCAGCCGAAGCAGCAGCAGCACCACCACGATCATCATCATCATCAGCACCACAACAACAACCACCACCCCCCCACCTCCACCATCATCAGCATCAGCAAACACAGCAGCAGCAAGCACAGCAACAGCAGCAGCAACAGCAGCAACAGCAGCAGCAGCAGCAGCAGCAGCAGCTGACTGCGAGCGCGCCTGGTATCCTCTGATGACCCTGAGGGGGTACTCGTGCTTCCACGCCGTCCACAGAGCCGTGTTGCGCTGGCTAGACCCACCCACAGCTATCAGCTGATCCTGCAGCAGCAGCAGCAGCAGCAGCAGCAGCAGAAGCAGAAGGGAGGTGGGAGCAGCACCAGCAGAAGGAGCAGCAGCAGCAGCAGCAGCAGCAGAAGGGAGATGGGAGCAGCACCAGCAGAAGGAGCAGCAGCAGCAGCAGCAGCAGCAGCAGAAGGGAGATGGAAGCAGCACCAGCAGCAACAGCAGCAGCAGCGGCAACATCAGCAACAGCAACAGCAGCAGCAGCAGCAACAGCAGCAGCAGCAACAGCAGCAGCAGCAGCAGCAATTACCCCAGGGTATACAGAAGTATCGTGGGGGTCTGGGTTCTCGCCGTGTATTATAAACATCGATCCCTTGTCTTCTACACGGCCATCATTTAGTAACAAAGATGTTGCTGTCTCTGAAAAGGAGACAGCAGAAAAAGGAGACAGGAAAAAAAGGAGACAGTAGAGAAAGGAGACAAAAGGAGACAATAGAAGGAGACAGAAGGAGACAGGAGGAGACAGTTGCTGTCTCTGATAAGGAGACAGCAGAAAAAGGAGACAGGAGAAAAAGGAGACAGTAGAGAAAGGAGACAAAAGGAGACAGTAAAGAAAGGAGACAATAAAAGGAGACAGAAGGAGACAAAAGGAGACAGTTGCTGTCTCTGATAAGGAGACAGCAGAGAAAGGAGACAATAAACAAAGGAGACAATAAAAGGAGACAAAAGGAGACAAAAGGAGACAAAAACAGAGACAAAATGAGACAAAAAAGGAGACGAAAAAGGAAACAAAAGGAGACACAAGGAGACAAAATGATACAGAAGAAAATAAGAAAAAGAGACAAAAAAGGAGACAAAAGGAGACAAAAGGCGACAAAAAAAGGAGACAAAAAAGGAGACAAAACGAGACAAAAAAGGAGACAAAAGGAGACAAAAAAGGAGACAAAAGGAGACAAAAAAAGGAGAGAAAAGGAGACAAAAGGAGACAAAAAAAAAGAGACAGCGCGCACGCATTTTGTCTTCGTCTTCACCGATGCAAATTCTGCTGCTGCTGCAGTGGAGGCCCAACACCCGCAGCTGCCCCAAAGTCAAGCACCTGCATAGACACCCCACACACAACAAAACACATGCAGCAGCAGCAGCAGCAGCAGCAGCAGCAGCAGCGGCAGCAGCGGCAGCAGCAGCAGAAGCGGCAGCGGCTGAGAAGCAAGAGGAGCAGCAGCAGGAGCAACAGGAGAAACAGCAGCAGCAGCAGCAGCAGCAGCAGGAGATTTAGGAATGGTAGCTGTTGCTGCAGCTGTGGTAGCAGCAGCAGAAGCAACAGACACAGCAGGAGCAGCAGCAGAAGAGACAGATGCCGGAAAGGAGACAGAAAGGAGACAAAAAGGAGACAGAAACGAGAGAAAAAGGAGACAAGAAGGAGACAAAAAGGAGACGAAAAGGAGACAACTAACAAAGAAACAAAAAGGGGACAAAAAGGAGACCGAATGGAGACAAAAAGGAGACGAAAAGGAGACAGAAAGGAAACAAAAGGAGACAAAAAGAGACAAAAGGAGACAGCACCTGAAGCCTGGAGGGTCCTTGAGGGGCCCGGGGCCGATGACGTCAAAGGGGACAAGAAGGAGACAAAAAGGAGACAAAAGGAGACAAAAAAGAGGCAAAAAAGAGACAAAAAAAGAGACAAAAAAGAGAAAAAGGAGACAACTAACACAGATATAAAAAGGAGACAAAGGGGAGACATAAACGATACAAAACGGAGACAGGAGAGAGACAGAAAGGAGACAGAAAGGAGACAAAAGGAGACAGTACCTGAAGCCTGGAGGGACCTTGAGGGGCCCGGGGCCNGACAGAAAGGAGACAAAAGGAGACAGTACCTGAAGCCTGGAGGGACCTTGAGGGGCCCGGGGCCGATGACATTAAAGGAGACAAAAAGGAGACAAAAAAGAGACAAAAGGAGACAACTAGCGCAGATATAAAAAGGGGACAAAAAGGAGACAGAAGGGAGACAAAGGGGAGACACACAGGAGACAGAAAGGAGACAAAAAGAGACAAAAGGAGACAGTACCTGAAGCCTGGAGGGACCTTGAGGGGCCCGGGGCCGATGACGTTGGCGGGGATACGATATTCCCCCGTCAGGTTGCTGAGCCGCCAGAGCGGGATCGATCCCCCCTGGCGGTCTTTACATAGAGAACTAGCCCTAATAAAAAAAATAAATAAAAATAAATAAAAATAAATAAATAAATATGCACATGAATATGCTTATTTGTTTAGAAGGTAAAAGGAAAAAGGAAATTAAAAAGAACAGAGAAAAAAACAATCAAAAAGGAGACAGAGAAAGGGGAAGAAGAAAAAAAAAAANAAAAAAAAAAAAAAAAAAAAAAAAAAAAAAAAAAAAAAAAAAAAAAAAAAAAAAAAAAAAAAAAAAACAGGCGGAGGGATAGAATTATAATAAAATAATAAATAAATAAACAACTAAAATAATAAATAAATAAATAAATAAAATAATAATAAATTAATTAAGTAAACAAAACAATAGGAAATAAATTAATACATAAAAATGAAATTAAAAAGAACAGAGAAAAAAACAATCAAAAAGGAGACAGAGAAAGGGGAAGAAGAAAAAAAAAAAAAAAAAAAAAAAAAAAAAAAAAAAAAAAAAAAAAAAAAAAAAAAAAAAAAAAA